TTCTTTTTGAATGTTGACACAATTATTCTGCAGTTGCAAAGGCTGACCACTGTATGGCAGTGTTGGGTGATTCTCAGGCGTCCACTGTAGAGGCTTATATGCAACACTGCCATCAAAACCTAATCTTATCATAGAAAATGACATTTTAATAGCTGTCCACTGTAGTGACCGTCATGCATGAAAGGGTTAACATGAACATCTATCTGCTCCTGACCCGGCCCCACTGTTTAATCTTAGGTCAATTGTGGCATACGAGTCAAAAGGTTTGACCACACCTGGGATAGAGTCATCCAAAAGTGCCAAAGCCCCCATTAAGACCTCCTAAGAAGAAACAGCTGTCAGCTTGTAAATATACTGATAAATATACAAAATCCATTTGACCCCATTTAATCCCATTTAATTTAATCCTTCTTCTTTGTTAGACGTGTGATGTCACTGATTTTTTTTAATTCATGGAAATAAAAAAATAACACTGTATATATACGTATACATATAAGATAATCCTTAATATTTTAAAAGTCGGGGTACTGGTTGCTTTAATGCTTTATTTAAATTATATATATTATTTAAACTGTATATATATAATTTAGATTTTATACATATGTATCATTTAAAAAAAGATAGATATTAAATAAAGATATATATCATCAATTTAACAATTGTGTCAGTTAGCTTGCCAACCGTAGACTCAACTGCCCTGCGCTCAATGAGGCTCGTCCGTCTTTGTTGTTTATTTATTAAAATTTAAATTTAAATTTTTATTTTTTTAGCTCGAGATGCATCGTTTAACCACTCTTAACCGTAGTGTGTGTATACGAGACAACTTTTCCTAAAACGTAGCTGTTTTACATAGCTGTTCGACATAATCGGTATTCGATAGTTTTGGTCTATGGTCAAGATGGCCGTCAAGTATCAATAGTAGTGGGTGACTTTAAAAAGAAAACCCCAACAATTTATTATATTTCGCATTGCTGAAGGAGATGGGTTTGTCACAGAGTTCAGAAGTATCCGAAAGAGGGACTTATGGATACCACGTGCATGAAGTAAGCCTCATTCTCTACATATATGTATTTATATCTCTATATAAAACTTGTAGTAGCTGTGTAGCAGCTTACTGTAACTGCTAACAGACAGACATCAGTTAAAGGCAAAGACACACTGGTTCAATTCGACGCGTCGGAACGTTTTTAAATTATTATTTTTTTATTTTTTTTTTATTTTAAATGAAATAGACTGAAGACCGTTAGCCCAACAGGGTTGACAACACCATCTCTCGGCAGACCCGTTTGAAAAGACTTAACATTGCTCGTAAATCCGGTAATCTCAGGGCAATGACGCTTTCAGTAAGTGTGGTCCTGTCATTTTAGACATTGTTTTTGAAGCCCCTTTTAGAGTTTTACGAAATATATTTGACAAATAAGCATAACCAAGACGGTCACGGTAACACTGCATGGACAACTTTGCAAGTAATAAACTTGCAAGTAAATAACTTACTACAAGTGACATAACGTATTCGTCATTAATTTAAATCAACTATATTTCACATTTAATGGTACAGTTTGTTTTTACATTTATGTGCCTTAAAATGTTTTTTTTTTCTCTCTTTACAATTGCATTAACGTTTCTTTTAACTCGGGACCGTTGTAGAAATGTTACATTTACGTGTTTTACGACTGTAGACCAAACAATTTATAGATTATTGAGTAATAGTTTTTATTTTTTTTGCCTACTTAGCATAAAACCCACTCTCATACTAGTTTAATCACATCTTTTCAACCTTTTAAGATATTGGAAGTGAATAGATTAAATCCCTTAATTTTACTTTTACTTTTAATATTAGTTTATTTAAGCAGTGATTAATACCCAAATCATATGAGGAAAATAATTTAAAAACATTTTTTTTAATAAAAAATATTTTATTATTCCGGCCCTCTTATTATTTTAACAGGTGCAGCCAAAGTCTCCTGCAGAAAAGGCTGGGCTCCAGCCTTTTTTTGACTTTATATTGTGTCTGGACAACAGAAGACTGGTAAGTTTATTACCTGGTGTTGTGGAAAAATACAGTGCAACCTCGGGATGCAAGAATAAGCTGTTCCAGGACTGATCTTGTAATTTGAGGTGCTCGTAATGCCAATCATAATTTTTGCCCATAAGCAATAACAGAAAAAAAAATTAATCCGTTCCGGCCCTCTGAAAAACTCCCGTATTACTGCTAATAGCAAATAGGAAAAAACATGTTTTTAATTGCTATAGAGACATACACACACAGAATTATAGTATATAAGGATTGCTGTGATATAAAATAAAATGTGGTTTTAATTATGAGTTCTTACCTTCGAGACAGACGATACAGTAGCGGCTAATGGCGGCATGTGCAGAGGGAGGAAGGGAGGGAAGAGAGTACCTTACACGTACACCTTACACAAATTTAGAATTAACTTACGTATTTATTTATTTTTTCTTTTCTATTTTATTTTTTTTCTCGTTTTTTTTGCTTTGTATTCTTTCTTTGGCGGGCATCACGCTCATATTTATCAAGAATTTCATCATGCGTTTCTTCCATTTTACTACCGTCCTTACCACTTTCTTACTTTCTTAGGACTCATCAATACTATGAAGAATAATGCAAGAAAATAGAGAGAAAATAACGTAGATATCGCAAGGACAATACGGAAGACCCTTGGGAGATGCGTACGGAAGTCGACGAACACGTGACCTACTAGCGTCGGTGTCTGTAAGCTCATACCTCAAATCTTCAGTTGTATCTCGAAGGAAAAAATTCGCTCGAAGGCTCGCTCGTATCTTGAAGCAATACTCGTATGTCGAGACGTGTATGTATCTCGAGGTTCCACTGTAATCATTTTTGATTCGTTTTTTTTTTGTCATGAGTTGAGCTGGTCGTATGTATGCGCATCAAATACATGTTTAATGTTTCCTTGGCTGTTTGCCAGAATGAAGAGGATGACCTGCTGAAGGAGCTGCTGAGGGCCAACTTGGAGAAAGCGGTGAGGATGGAGGTGTACAGCACAAAAACCACCCGAGTTCGTGAGCTGGAGGTAGTACCCAGTAATGCATGGGGTGGACAGGGGCTGCTGGGAGCAAGCGTTCGCTTCTGCAGTTACCAGGGAGCCAATGAGAACGTGTGGCACGTCCTGGTGAGTTGGCGACTAAAGTCAACGAGACTTTTTTTTTTTTTAATTGACTTCTCTCTGTAACTGTGGATTGTTTTTTCCCATCAGGATGTGGAGCCCGGTTCACCAGCCGCACTCGCGAGCCTTCAACCACACACCGACTACATCGTTGGAGCAGATCACGTGTTGCAGGATGTAAGGATGTTTTCTAAATTACGTAATAAATACATCTTTAAAATATCGTTTTAAATACCAGTTTAATTCGAATCCAATTTTGATGTCCAGTCGGAGGATTTCTTCTCGCTGGTTGAAGCCGCTGAAGGAAAACCGCTGAAGCTGCTGGTGTACAATACAGAGACGGATTCCTGCAGAGAAGTAGTGGTGACACCTAATAGAGCATGGGGAGGACGGGGCAGGTTTGTAGCAGTACCATAGGTCCTAAATAAATACTGATATAATCCGTTGACGGCAAAAACAGAGCCTTACAAAGTTACTTTGATAACCATGTATCTATGTCCATTTTCTTTTTTTTTTTTTAATTAACACCAATCACTATGAAAGGTTAGGACGAAGCGGAGTCGCTACCGGTTGCTCATTAAGTATTTTTTTTTTTTTCTGTACAGATTCATTACGTTTCTACTGTAAAAAATAAACCCCGCTTTCCGATCAAAAAAAAGTATTTACGTTAGTTAGTAGGTTGTGCGAGTTATGTTGGATTCTTTTGTTTGATTGTTGTATTTTTTTATTAATTGCACACGACAAATTTGAGTTTATTTGACTATATAATATATATATGTTTTTTTTATAAAATAGCTTAAAATTAGATTAAAAATGTTTTTTAACATTACCATATCATACCATCATTTTAGAATGCTTTTAGGTTTGTTTTTCATGTTTTCATTTTAAGTCATTGTAATCACGGTATAATTATTATTATTTTTAAAATGTTCTCAGTTTGGGTTGCGGCATCGGTTATGGCTACCTTCATCGAATTCCAGTCAATCTGAACGAAACGACTTCCAAACCCCCTACTCCTGTTCTGGAGAAGAAACCGTCTCCGAAATGGCAAATGCATGGATTCACTGAGGTACGTGTCATATTTGTGTTGCATAATAAGATTTTTAATAACATTTGTTTAATGATGTTTTTGTTTTCAGTCAATACATTTTATTCTTCTTAAACTGTTCTTGTATATATATTTATACTTGTAACATTTGTAATATATACTTATATATAAATAAATGTTTACATAAAACATCTGTCTGGAATAGATTTAAAAATGGATTCAGATAAATAATAACAATTTATAATTTACAATTAACAAATTATTATAAATTCAACAAAATGTTAAATCTTCACGTTTTTTAAGGAGTCGTGTCCCAATAACTGCTGCGATCGGTTCCTACAACTTCCCCATTATTAAACAGTAGAAGAAGAATAAATGTATATAATAAAAATATATAATTTCACATGTTCACTATTTTCACATTGACAGCCGCTAGAGGGCGCTCTAGGCTTGTGTACCAGTGTCTGCTACTCCTGTAGCACTGAAAATGTATAAACTTACCAACCAATACTCCGGAGCGACTTGTAGTCTGCAAAATACGGCATATATTTTGTTGAAATTAAATTATTTTTCTAGTGAGTGTTGGTAGGGGGAAAAAATAAGAAATCTTAATTAAATCCGCATGACTGTTTCTAGGCTCCATTAATGGCACCTTCCGACCAGGGTGAAGTGGACCTGAAGCTTGAGGACTTTCAGGAAACTTCTCTCCCTCCCCCAATTCAGAGGGTTATGGACCCCGGTCAGTTTGGATATAACTTTAACCTCTTCGTAGATTAAACAAGAGAGAGTAAGAGTAATCATTACTGCTCGTGCGACGGTAACCGTTTTGAGCACTGTTTTGTTTAGACTCCAAAGTGTCAGGGTTTGTGGACCGGTTGGCTCCGTCGATGTCATCTGTAGACGTGGACCACGCTTCGTTGGCCATGCACGAGGAGAAGTACGGTGAAATCTCCGGCGTTGGTGAGTTTTACTGAAGCGTGTTATTCCATTGTTAAAGCAGTACTTCTCAAATAGTGGGGCAGACGTGTTGCCACCAGTCACTAGGTGGCAGCAACTCATACAGTGGTTTGCAGAGGTGGGACCAAGTCAATGCTTCGCAAGTCTCAAGTCCGAGTCAAGTCTCAAGTCAGGACGGGCAAAATCCGAGTCGAGTCCGAGTCAAGACCGAAGAGTGTCAAGTCAAGTCCCAAGTCCTGCCGTTTCTGTTTCGAGTCCTTTTAAACAAAATAATAATATATTTGCACAGGGATTTGATTGGCTCGATTTGATTGGCTCGACGCTAAACGTGTCATCCAAACCTCACGATCTTTGGTATCATTTTCTCTCGTCCGAGTGAAGTCACGAGTCACTGACGTTAGTAAGTCCAAGTCGAGTTGCAAGTCTCTCTACATTTTGTCAAGTCCAGTCTAAAGTCATCAAATTGATGACTCGAGTCATGCGACCCGAGTTCAAGTCATGCGACTCGAGTCCGACCCGAGTTCAAGTCATGCGACTCAAGTCCGACCCGAGTTCGAGTCATGCGACTCGAGTCCGACCCGAGTCCAAGTCATGCGACTCGAGTCCGACCCGAGTCCAAGTCATGCGACTCGAGTCCGACCCGAGTCCAAGTCATGCGACTCGAGTCCGACCCGAGTTCAAGTCATGCGACTCAAATCTGGTGGTTTGTACAGATAAAAATGACATGTTGGGATAGAGGGCGGGGGGTGTAAAAACATTTCTGTCCCTAAGTAGACAGTAAATGTGACTGCTTTTAACTCATCACCAAAGTGATCAGGGGGGCAGCTTAAGCACCGGACTATAAGTCACACTTTTTTTCTATCCTTTTGCTGGGTTTGTGACTTAAACTCAGGTGCGACTTATATATTAAAATATATAATTTCACATTTGTTATTTTCACACTGACAGCCGCTAGAGGGCACTCTAGGCTTGTGTACCAGTATCTGCTACTCCTGTACCACTGAAAATTTACATGTTTGTTTTTTTTGCACACTGACAGCCACTGGTTTAGTTTACAATCCCTACTACATTAGAAAGGGGTTTGTATCAATTTTTGATCTTACCTGAGAAGCAATCCAATAATGGTTACCGTTAACCCTAATCATATTTGCTTTGATTTTACACAGAGGAGCTGGAAGACAGTGGCCTGCTCTCATCTTCCGCAGATGATCGCATAGAGCCCCGCACGCTGAGCTCCCAGGCTGCCATGGAGCTCATTTCTGCTCTCGATTCTTCTGACATGTTGTCAGACTCACAGGAATTCACGCATGACCCAGTCACGAAGTCTGGAGACTTCCAGAGATTGTCTTTACCTGTGGACGCATTTGACACTCCAGTCGTGTCCTCGCTCTCTGCTGAAAACCTATCCTGCACATCTTCGCTCCATGTCTGTTCCTCAGTTGTTGACGAGTCAGTGACAGAAGATTCTCCCACGGAGCTTCTAGATGTTTCCCAGTCTTGCGCCTGTGAACGCGGTCAGGAGGTAACTAAAGATACACACACGGGTTAAGTACCAACCAACACATGGGGTAACTTTTACAGAAATTTTAAAACAACAACCACGAAAAAAAAACACATTTTAAACTTTTTTTTTAGTCCCTCTCAGTCGGTGTCTTTAATGAGTTCGAATGATTGGTTTATTTATAACACTGAAAAAAAGCATCTACCCCCAACAGGACAGATACAAATAACACTAATTAACATGTGTTTTGGTGCAGGTTGCAGGACTTTATTTCTGTTACGCTAAAGCAGTGGTTCCTTAAATGTGCGTGTGCGAGAGTAACTACGACTTTAAATTGTAAAGATCTGTAACACTGATCTAAATGTGACTGATTGAAAAAAAAAAACATGAACATACTTTCTACGTACACTGTACAATATACTAAAAAAAAAAAACTAAATAAAACCAGCAATAATTGATGTTTTCCTCAAACAAATCAGAGATTTAGGAAACATAATTAAAATATCATTTAAATCCAAAATATTCACATTGCTGTTTCGTAATGTGTTTATACGCATATTAAAATGTATGTATGTATATATGTGTACATATAGTATGCATATACTATATGTACACATATATATATGTATATATATATATGTTTTATATATATATATTATATATTTATATATATATGTTTTTATGTTTTACATATATGTCTAACTTAGATATAGACAATTTTAATCAGACAAAAAAAAATCTAAAATACATCTGGTCTAACTAGTGTATTTTGTGCATACTGCATTCATGGGGATATTAGCATTAAAATTAAAAAAACCGCGATGTGATCAAATAAATAATCAGAGTTAATAATCTGTTAAATCAAAATTGCCCATGCATGTTTTTAATGCTAATTGTTAGCTCTATAGGTGCGGTCACGTTTTTTTTTTTCTCGTGGTTTGAAGAGGCAGCATCGCCAATTACTTCTACATTTTATACATTTTTTTTGTTGTTTAAATTTGGAAAACATTGCTTTATTATGCCTGTTTAGCACATGTAGACAGAATCTGACCTAACTTTCTTACAATAATAATGTGTATACAGTGATCCTGATCCTATCGCGGTAGTTGCGTTCCAAGACCGCAACTTATGCATTTAAGAAACATCTAAAGCACTGGCCCACACCGTGGCATATGTTGTTTGAACCCGCCTACCAAAACATGCTAATATGGGATTAGCGGTGTTTTCCGGACTAGATGTCGTTTCCCGTTTCTCGTCCTTTTGCTGGATTTGCGACTTATATTCAGGTGCAGCTTATGTATTGAAATATTTAATTTCACGTTCGTTATCACGTTGGCCGCTAGAGGGCGCTCTAGGCTTGTGTACCAGTATCCGCTATTCCTGCACCACTAAAAAAAAGCTGTAGATAATGGATAGATAGATTAAGAAATTGGTCAAATAAAAATGTCTATATTGAAAATAACGTTTTAATTTCAAGGAAGGAAATAAGATGATCAACAATGAGAGATGGTACATATGGAACTTGTATGAGTCCCAAACAGCGCAGTACCAATAGTATACATCTACTATTTACATTTTCAAATAGACCTCTACATCCGTCTCATAGATATCGTGTATATATATATTGAATTTCTAAAATGTCAGAGTTAAACAGCAGATGGGGTAGGGGATGGGGGGCTAGTTTTGATTTCACAGACACGTCTACCACGTTGTTCACTGTCAAAAGTGACATTTTTGCAGGTATAAAACAGAGATCGTGTAATCGTCGTTTCTTACTCCGCACATTCCAGCCGAAGAAACATCCATTCGTAGTTCACATCAGTTTCTTTGTAAACCATTCCAATTTATTTCCGAGTGCCTAAAATATACATATTTCACAAGTTATTACATAAGGGTTATTGCAGTTTTCAACGGGCCAAATTGTAGTACGTTTTGGGCCAAATTAAGTGTAAACACCGCACCATTTCCAGTGTTCGACGCACACTTCCTTATGACAAAATAACTCCAAAAAAATTTAAAAAAAAAAGAGGGGGATCTGTCATTTTGCTTGCCGAGACAGCTAAGAGAAAATGGGGTATATCGGTTTAGGTTGTGGAGTTTCTCCACGGTAACTAAGAGACTGTACCCTTAAGGTTATGTATATTCATGTTGTGTGGAACTATAGTATCTAAAGGAAACATAAGAAACAAGCTTCACTGTCAGCCGAGTCTCTGCTCTTTGCCTGAGCGCAGAACAATTAAGCGTGAGTTATTTGTATAAGATACTGTAATATGCCTTATATAGAACTTTCAAACGGCTTCGATGGAAAAACCACTACTCACATTCTTTACCTGCTACTTCTGGGTTGCAGTTGTAATCACAACATATGCAACTACTTGAACATCAACAAAACGCTAGAATTACCTTAATGACCACAAAGGTGCTTTAAGGAATAGGGGGGAAAAAAAACAAAAAAAAAAACATTGGTTTTCAAGTAAACTGTACAAGAACAAAAATCAAAACTGCTGAACACCCAACCTTTTAAAACAAAAGCATAAAGTTGTACACATCACAAAAAAACAAAAAACAAAACAAAAAAACATTCAGTTCTTTTATAATAGCACAGCTAACCAGAAGGGACAAAGACAAGTGTTTGTATCATCAGTTGAGATACATCCAGTTCCGTGATTGGACATTTGAGCCAAGGTTATTTAACATCATGTAATCTATGGCAACAACAGGAAAAAAAAAAAAAAAAAAAATTTTTTTTTTTTAATGCTTCTCAGAGACCAAGTGTACTCTTAAAACAAGAACAGTATCTGGAATGTACCATTACAGTCTACTACATTCATGTACATACACATACACACATACACACACACAAACAGTTTTCACATACCCTCACTCAGACATGAATGCTTGAAAATAAAATTGGCAGTCAGAAGGTATATATAACAAAAAAAAAAAAAATAAACCCATAAATGAGTGCGGAGGTGGAGGCTGACAAAAAGAAAAAGAAAACGAGTCCTTCATTTATTGTTTAAAATAACAAAAAGTTTGGACTGCTGACTTCCCAGGCGTCTTTTTGGCTGCTCCAGCCTGGTTTTGTGTTCGGCATTGCTTCTCCAGGATTCACCACAAGCCACATCCTTAAAAGTTTTTTTTTTTTTTTTTTTAACCGGATTCTCTTTACCACACAAAAAGGCTTTATTAGATTACTACAAGTCAGGGTTGCGTAATGATTGGCAAATGATAAAGTCTCTTATTGTAAAAAATAATGTGACTTTCACGTGGACTTCTGC